GTTGCAAACCACTGAACCAAACTATTCATATGCCGGCCCTTGTCATTGTGCTTAGCAGTTGACGTAACAGTAATACACACATCAGCTACATGTGCCCTCATGCAAATGAGGGCATTAGAGCAGACCTCAGAGACCGAAGCGTGGCCAATAAATCCAGCCCGGGTGAGAAATGTAGCCTTTACCATGCGTGTCCAACCCCGTCTATTTAACCTAATTACACACACTATACCAGGTAATAAAAGTCTGCATGCCATCAATTCTGACATCTCATCCACGGCTCTGCAAGGAATTTCTATTAGGATCTATAAATCTAATCTTCTCTAGATGTGTGAAACGGTGCCTCTGTCTTTCCTGTGTGAGGGAAACATGTATGTCTCCCACACGCGTGTGCTTCTATGTGCATGCATCTTTTTGTCTTTTTAACTGCTCTGTATATGCTGAAGCGTTTCATATCTTTGGAGCACAAAAGGGAGTGAGCACGCCTGCCTGCGCACAGCGGGGGTTGTAGATCAGCTTCAGGATGCAGGACAGGTCCCACACAGACAGATGAACTCACCGGAGTTCAACCGTCTCCCTTTTCTTTGCTGTCCCTGATCCGAAGTGAAAAGACAAAACAACTAGACTCAGACAGCAGTGAAACATGCGAGCAATCCGGGGTTTTTGTTTCTTACCCAGGTGTTTCACGTTGCTTGCTGACAGGCCAGTCTGTCATGGCAGACTAGCTGCAGGTACTTTCTCTTTCCAAAGTCACGCCTTGCGATTGATAAAGAAAACAGCAGATTCTCCGGATGGCCACAGACAGTGTTGAAGCCATGGGCAGCTGGAGATAAATAGATGCTTCAAAGTGGCTTCACCCGTACTCTCTTTGCCTTTGTCCACAGCGCACCTGAGCTACATCTGACCCTCACCCCCACACGTGCATGTGGATCTATGAAAGAGGGGATGAAGTTGTGAGGTGAAAGGGAAGGATGAGCGACAAATCGCTGAGAGGCAATAGTTCCCAATGTTGGAAGATGTTTGTGACTCATTTCAACTTTTTCCCCTCTGTGGTTATTTCACATGACTGAGTACGGCTACCGGATGAGAAAAAGAAGCTTCTTATTGAACTTACATTGCAGACAGCGTAATCAGTGCAAACATCTATCAACGGTAAACCTGAGGGACGATCAGAAGGTGTTACAGTTGAAATTATTGCTGTAGTCGTACTACATTGTTGCCAATGGGGTACCTGATTTCAAATTTTTATAAAACAATGTCACTAATTTGTCACTGTAATATTCAATGAAAAAGCCGCTTCTCCCTCGTCTCATAACTGCGATGGCACATTAACCTGTCAAGTCTCCAATTTCCAGCTTAGGAAAAATAAATAAATAACTGATTCACCACACCTGGATTTCCACTCCAGGATGTCATCCATGGAATTCGGCAGAAAAGCTAATCCATCAAACTCAGCGTGGGAGTGTGTATTTTCTTTTAAAAAGGATTACTCCATTTTCAAAACAGACCCGATTTTTTAGAAGGCGGCTCAGAGTATACGGTTTGATAAATTGATTTCTGACTTATTTATCTCACATAGTCATGAGAGAGTGTTGGTGTTTGGCTAAGAGAGAGCATTGTGCAATAAACAATTACTAATTCCTATAGCTGGCAAAAATATGGTGAATTCAGAGTAGCTGATGTCAGAACGTCAGGCAGATGTGGTCGCTAACACTGAAGAAGACGCCAAACGGTTGGGATTGATTGAGCTTGATGTGAGGTGGTGCTTCTGTCTCACTGCTTATTTGGAAAAAGGCGAAATATGAGAAAAAAAAAAACGCAAATACAAAGATTTAAAAACAGTCACTTGCAAGATATACAATATTATTCCTGATTATTCATACACACAATGTTGGTTGAATGGCAATCCGCTGTTGGTTTATGAAGATTATGCTCTTATTCACTGTCACATTCTTGGTGCATTGTACTTTCTCTCTACAGAGCAGCCAGCTTCAAAGCTTCTCCATGGCAATTGTTGTCTCCGTCACCTATTATAAACAATGCATTTCTAGAGAAAAGGCTGTAATTGTGCAAAAGTGTTGCACAAATGGCTTTGTAACATTACTGTACGCCTTTCTTCAATGCAACCCATACACAGGGCCCTGAAAGCTCTGGGCAATTGAAGTTCTGCTTTCATCCAGCATAAAAGCTGTGTTTGCGATTGAGCTTTCGTGTTATACCTTTTCTCGCCTTTACCCCCATCTTCACCGCCTTGTTTCATATGAGTGCACAACCACAATGGTTTGAGTAATGGGCCCAAAATACCTTTTCCTGAACAAAATCACTGCTTTTGTGGGTCATATCGAGGTAACTTTGAGACCCGGGCAACTTGAACAGAGTACTGCTATTACTAATTCCTTTTTCTTTCTCTATCTCACTCTCCTTATTCTAACAGTAAAACAATTCTGCGGTACCGCGCAGGCCGTATGATTTAGCCCGGCTCAATGCAGAAAAACACACATGGGAGAAAAAAAAACCAAAAGGGAGAGAAACACACAGAGAACACGGGTCAACCACAGAGCTTTTTCCTTGTTTGAGAATGTCAACATCAAAGAAAAGCTTTTTTTCATCGGTGGGGGCATGCTGGTGGGCCGTAAATGTTTTCCTGCAGCAGAACAAATCGGGGTCCTAAGCCAAACCAACAGTCTAAAATAGCCTGGTGACTGGGTGGTTATATCGACTGCTTTTAGTGCCGGTCGGCTGGCCTTGTTTGCTGGTTACACTCTGACTACAATGGCGGGAGAAAAGTGAATATTTAATATGAATGTTAGTCTTAACTTGACATGTTTCCTTTTCCTTTCATCCTTTCTCCACGGCTATTCAGCTTTTTTTTTTAAGTGTCTTAATAGTTTAAATCTCATCAGGAGATACTGCATGACAAGCAAAAACATCAGTTTGTCACCTACTGATGATGAAATATCCCTTGACATGCATCCTGTATCACAGATGTAAGCATGTTGTGGGTGCCAGTTTCATGGGTGTGTGTACATCTCGGCGCGTTGAGAAGTGTGAGCAGGCTGCAGACAGTGGCCACTGGGAAATCAAGGAGCACTTTGTCATGCATCCTTAAATGTGTGACACTGCGTCTCATGAGACGGCGCCTGATTGGTCTACGAGGCCTTGAAGACTGACGGGTGAGTGATGGCCTCAAGGGGATACAGTGTGTGTGTGTGTGTGTGTGTGTGTGTGTGTGCGTGTGTGTGTGTGCGTTGGCTGGGGTTAGAGACACGGGACAGCACAGTGACATGTCTGGGTGGCACCCTGTCAAAACCAGCTGGCAATGTGTCGTAATGCTGCTATCAGGTACTCATACAAAACTATAACCTCAGTTTTCAAGATTATATAAACATTTTATTAGACTTTAACCCACCAATGACTCTTTATGTGGTGATTTGTTTGAACATCATAATGAACACGTCATATGTCAACATTGGCATTTAAACTTGTGTACAGCATATGTGCCTGTACACTGTTCATTCCCATTTGTACAGTTTTCAGGCATTTTTTGTGGAATCCTCTCATTTTACATTCAGCAAAAAAGTTTGAAAAAGAAGGCTTACTGGGGAAAGAGCAGGCACTATCAAAGCAAAAGGAAAGTTGTGGTATTCCATTATTCTGTGATGGTATATGATGATATAAGGTTTAGGGTCGTGCATTTATGGGCGTTAAGAGTTACTATGACGATAAACAATAGATTCTAGAGCGAGGCCGCAATCAAGTTATAGAATGAAAGATCTGTCCATTAGTTTTGAATGAAATTCAACAAACTCAAACTCAACTCGTCTCTTCAGACATACCTTTAAGGAATAAAAAAGTAGACCAACAAAAGGAACACAAATACACGAGGCACGTGTCTCAGTAGGCTAAATGTTTCGAGATGAATTTGACCAATACGTTGAATAGGTGCTACCATTGAATACAGATTGTGCGTACTTAGTAAAGTTTTTATAAAAAGAACGTAAAATAACTTCCCTTGTGGTATGTGTGTATGTGTGTATGATATGCCAGATACCTTCACACTATTACAATTAAAATCTGCTGGATTGACTCTACTATGTGAATAATTTGTCCAGTTGCTGTAAAAAGAGTATAAACGTATAATTACAGAGCATGTTGCTCATATTTACTGTCCCTTAATAGGCTTCTGACATCAAGCAGACAGCGGCCTGTCATCTTCATTAGTCATTTATTCGTTTAGTATTTTCCTCAGCAGATAAGGGCTGTCATGGAGTGAGAGAGAATGTTTAACTTTGTCTACCGGGTCTTTGTTTCTGATCGATGTTACCAGGCCGCAGCACCCGAGAGGTAGAGAGAGTAAGAGGAAAGAGGAATTAGGGGAGAGACAGGGAGACAGAGTGAGAGAAAAGGACGATTTACGCTGGCGCCGCATTTTTGTTCAATTAATAGATTGCCAGTGTGTTACGTATTTTGCATGACAAAGGAGGGTAATATTAAACTGCCATGTGTAATGAAAATGCACTTTGCAAATTAAAAAGTGCAGAAACCCAATTTTTCCTACCTCTTTAGGAAATAAACAGTTCTTAACCAATTAAAGCGCATTGTAATAATTCTGTGATTTATTGCAGGTTGTTTAACTTTCAAAACTGGGCTAACCTATATTAAGGTCACAATCCATCATGTCATGCACGGAGTGCTGTGGAGTAATGGCTGTTGTATTAGTTGCTTTTGATGATAGTATGAAAGAAGTATTAGCACTTGTCAACAAAACTGCTTACAACATAACATTAGCATGCATGAGCTGTGTCGCCTATTCATTATCTTGGCAGCTCCACACACGCTGTTCCTGCCTTATAAAACATTTTGCCAGGCGGAGAGCACACACTCACTGTTTGGTTTTGTGATAGAGTGGCAACATGCAAACCATGGTCGCAATGCAAACAGGCTACGGAAAGAGGAAACGGTCTCCGCGACACGTGAGCGAGGAAGGGAGGAAGAGCGAGGGAGGGAAAGAGGGAATGAGGGTCGGGGAAGGATGAAGGAGATCACTCTCTATCATTGCTCAGATCGCTCTCCTTCAGTTAAGCTTTGGTTTCATGTGTTGTAAACACACTGAGGAAGAGAGGGAGGACAGAACAGACAGGATGGATGAATGCACTGAGGGCGAGGGAGTGCAATGAAAAAGCTACCCGTGTTTTAGATTTCACCTGATCTATGATTGGCAGAGAAATGGAAAGAGGTAGACACAAAACAAGCTCATGTGGGTAACATTTGGAGGACTGTTGAGGCGGAGACAATGCGGATAAAAGGAAAGCTTCAGCGGTAAGTAGTAGCTGATTTGAATGACAGAAAAATGGACATGATGAGTGGCTTGAGAGTGAGGAACGGGAGAGAGAAAAGACGGAGAAACAGATGTAAAGAGTTCCAACTGAAGGGCACGGCAGGGTACCAGCCAGAGAGAGAAAGATGCAGAAAATGCAGGGCGGTGTGACATGGTGACATTTGCCTCCACAAATGGTCTCTCTGGCTTTCGCTGCGCAGTCTGGTGCGATGCCCCCCGACTGTGAGCCAAGAATGCACTTAGCTCAACAAGCGCAAATGAATGGCCCTGTTTTGACTTCTACCATTACACTCCTTCTCCCTGATAGCTGGTGCAGGGCAGAATGAGTCTTTGTTGGAACCCAGGGATTCCTGCATGTTTAAACACCACTGCACCATGAACTAATTAGTGTTGTAAATCAGCAGTTGGATGATGTGTGGATTTAGTTCTCAGCTCTTGACTCGGTAGTTCATCTGATTAGGAAACTAAAATCCCAAGTGTTATATCAACACAGCGCATTGTTACGCAGAGCAATACAGTGGATATTTAAAAATGACTTTCTTGTTATGAAACAATAAAGCAGACGCCAATTTAAAGTGCGTTCTCGTACCGTGGACGTACTGTATGTTATCATTGGATCCCCATTGAACCGTGCTGTTTACTTCCCACAGAGAGGAAGTCAGGCATTTACCCACCACGAGCCATGCAAACACCTGACAAGACCACAATCATGTCAACGATGCAAGCTAATTGCAGCTAACGGTAAGGATTCACATATCTCAGGACAGGACTGCAAAACATTAGCCCCCCCAGACCCCCCCACACACACACACACACACTCACACACACACACACACACCCACTGACCTTAGACGTACTGCACTAACTTCAAAAAATAATGCTGGTAATAAAAGTCACAGGTCATGGTGAATTAGAGGTGGAAAGTTCAACTTTCGTGCATCCACGGTTTAGATATGTTCACGGCAATATATTGTTATACTCACACACTGATACTATTACGTGTGCGTCTGTCTCTGATCACTCGGCCCCTCGCACGCCCCTCTACATGTGTACATTTTGAAATCTCTCTCCCCCCCGATGATTATTCATGTGCATTTAACTCTCAAACCACCCCTCATTAACTGTGGCTGGCCGGGCCATACGTTGGGCCAAATTACGCAGCTTTGACATACACAAACCAGCAGGAGGGGTGAGGTGAGGGGGTGTGGGGGTTGTCAGGATAAAAGACCTGGCTCTCAGCTTGGCCCTCACTAACCATAGATAATGGGGGGCCGGTGTGTCTGTATGGTCTTTTAAAGCACAATCAGCACTTTCACTTTTAAAGGGGCGGGGTTGAAGAAACGTGTGTGTGTGTGTGTGTGTGTTGGACAGAGGGGACGGGGTGTGAGGGGGGGCGCGGGGAGTGAAGAGCAGGAGAAGGGGAAGGGGAAAAAGGAGGTGACCCTCAAACCAACAGGCAGGAGGATGAAAGCAAAGTCAAAGATTTACACAAGAGAGAAAAGACTGAATGTATTTGAACCCCATTTCCATTTACTAGACGCACTCCGGTGGGTTGCAATTTGTAGCTTTGCATCTTTTGCAGTGACATTTTGCAGGTGTCTGTTGGTTAACAACGACATTTGTACGTAAGTATGTTGTTGCAGATGAAGTGAGGCCGTCCAAATCCTCTTTCAAACCCTCCAGTCACAACAGATTTATATAGAAACTGCTCTCTCTAAATAAACAAACACTATAGCGTACAAAACACCACGAGCAACCATTAGAGAAAAGCTTCAATGCCGACTGTAGTTTCTCATCGCCAGCCTACCGGGCCGTCATTCATGAATCTAAATGTGTTTAGTAAATAATCTTATTGTAGCCCTACTTATAATGTGCAATGTGAAGCTGTATTACGAAGAAAAGATGAATACCAGATTGGGACTACTCGATAGAAGAAGATTTGAACCCAATTCAATATTAAAACAACTTGAATCAGATCTTCGGTTTGAATAAACAGAAGGAATGACCAGCAAAAGATGTGTGTGTGTGTGTGTGTGTGTGAGTAATACGGAGGGATGTTGTGGAATTCTTACTGCTAATAAAGTCAACCAGGCATAAAGAAAGGAACAATATTTTCTCTTGCTGCTACGTTTTTATCTGCATTTGAGTCAAGATAACATTCTCAACTTCTGTATTCAGCTGATAAAGAGTGATCATAGTTTAATAGCAGGAGAACAATGGATCCTGATAATAGTCAGCAACAGAGAAATTAGCCACAGAATACGCAATCTCCACCACAGCAAGGAGATTAGTCTCTGTCGGACAATCTAAACACAAACACACACACACACACACAGACACAGACACAGACACACACACTGTTACGTTCCCCAGTTTCTGTGTTTGGTGGCTTTGTTTTTGTGCCTTGATAGGTGATTGATTCCAGGAGCAGCAGTCCCCAGACTGGAGATCTGGCCCCACCCACTCGTCAGTGGCTGCACCTGGATTCCTTCCCTCGCAACACATAAAGTGGTGCCATTTTTGTTAGGAAGCTCTCGCTCGTTGGGTGTGACTTGGAGTCTCGGTTAAATCTTGTTCTGTGTGCTTGTGAAATTTGTCATTTGTGTTTAATCCTGTTTTTTTTCGTCTTTTGTTCCCAGGGAAAAGGGGAAGCACCTTGGGAGTGCGTAGGCAAGCTGCCCATGGGTCTACACCACCCGTAGTCATCCTCCTGTCTAGAAACACTAGGCAAGACCTGGGCGGACCACCCCCTGTATTTGGTTAGTGAGCCTTGCTAGTGCTCAAGGTAGGTCAGGGGGGGGTGTTTCAGGTCAGATAGGCAAGAGGGACTATTTTGTTTTGTTCATTGTTTTGGTTCCGCCCAGCCCCTTTTCCCAAGCAACCCGTATATATATTAATAAACATTCCTTTTTACGGGCTATATGTGTTCTGGTCGTCCATGTACCTACACGCACCACACCTCTTTCCCCCATTTCCACATTGAGATGACGAGCGGCGGGTCGTTGCGTTCCCTCCTCCACGAGGCGTGCGTAACACACACACACACACACACACACACACACACACACACACACACACACACACATGGCTATGATACTCCGGCTAATGCAGGTGCCTCATAACAACAAAAACAGCCGTAAAAAAAAATACTGTGGTATTTATGTATCGAGAAATGTTTTAGACCCAATGCAGCTTCATTAAACGGTCGAAAAAATAAACCCCGTCAGATCAACATTGAAATCTTCAGAGTTTGACTATTTTTTGTTTGATGATTGTAAAATGTATGCGATAAACTTGTCAGCTGCTGATTTATTTAAGTAAGATAGATATTAATGTAAACAGGCTGCGAGCTATAAAGTAACAACACATCCCTGTGCGCAAGAGTTTTCAATGACCTCAACCGTCGACCAAACCTAAATACAGCCATTACAAATCAGACTTTATTTAACTGCAGCCTGAAGATCACTCATCATTGAGTAGTTAGGCAATCAAATCAAAATGCCATCTAATTTGACAGTTGTTAAGAGAGTGACCTCGGCATAATGTGAATAACCGCCCTTTATTGCAAAGAAGAATTGAGACTAATTCTACGTAGTCACTGCTGAAGTGGAACCTTAAGTTTTTGGGGGGAAGGGTTAGCACCATATGCTGAGTATATGACAGCTACATCACAGCAGTGTAACAACATAGAAGTGTATACTCCTCATGGGATGTTGGTGGGCCCAGTGTGTGTGTGTGTGTGTGTGTGTGTGTCACAGATGTTGCAGTCTGAGGTCTGGTGCAGATGGCTCTGGGCGTACTTCCCAGTCATCTCTTTCCAGTGAAAGCAGCACCATCACTCAGCGCTACCTGGACTGTGTTTAGAGGATAGGAAGTGACACACCGCACAGCACATACACACACAAACCACCATCGTACCACCACGTACACCCAAACACTCCTTTTCCAAACTCTTCCAGACATTTTTTTCACATTCAAAAAGGAGATTTGCTTTGTTGTTTCAGCAACGTCTCCAAACACACTCAGTTATAGTTTACCATTATACAGTCAATCAGGTCATATTTCAGACAGTACAATGTTTCACTTTGTAGAAATGTTGCTCAGTGAGGGATGACAGCCTTAACGCTTAGCGCACATTTCCAATTGGTTTGTCATTGTTGGTGTAAACAAATCAGAATCGTCATGCAGTATTCTGTATTATTTCATTATACACTTTATACAAACATGGCTGCACACCATTGAGAATATCTAGACGGGCTAGGACAGCCCCCTCCCCCCCCTCCCTCCCTCCCCCCTCCGATCCCCCTGACCCCCCCTCTCGAGTTACTAAGCCAAATCCAAGTGTTTGGAAATGGAGCATCTTTGTAGTATCACATTGAAATACAGTATGCAGACCCAGGCGAGCACAGGTCTCTCTCTCTCTCTCTCTCTCTCTGAATCTTCCTCTGCTTGCCAGTGCCTCTCGCTCTCCCTGATCCCCTCAGTTTTTCACTGGGTAAAGGTGTCCTTTGGGGAGAGAAAGGCCTCGGGGGATTTGTCTTAGTGCAGAGTGCCACCTTGTTGTCAGGGCTGCAATAACACATTGCTTTCAAAGCCAATCCTGACAGACGATCACACGCGAGAAACGTCATCTTAGAATGCATAGCAACGTTAATGCAAACATAGTTACTGTGTTGTCTATTAAGAAAGAATAAAAGGAGGAGGCCGATTGGGGGCCGGGCAAGTTATGATACAAGGTTGTAGTGGCTCAGAAATGACGGCCAATAGCTCATGATGCCCTCTGTCATCGGTTGGATATCAACCTCTGAAACCTTCTGTGTTAATACCTTAAACTGACTTCTCAAATATAATTTGACTCAATTCTAATTAGAGGTATTTCTTAACAAAGCACAAATCTAATGTACTTTTGACTTTTAGCATTTGAAAAAAAAAGTAGTTGAAATAAATTGGCCTGAATTATAGATACCAGCATTCAAACAGTTTTACATGAAATTATCATTAGGTTGACTGCACTGAAGCTGTAAAACCTACTTCCTATAGCAAAGGAGATGAGGGGAAAGTATACTGAGTTAGTAACGTCTTCATTAATGTGTGAAAACTCCGAATACAGGCAGCAGGATCCTTGTCACAGCAGTTTACTGGATGGGGAATTTAATTAAAAGAGGAAACGCAGGAAGGGAAGAAGAGAGAAATGGAGGAGAAGTCGGGAAGGGCTGCGCGGCGATTGTTAACCGGACATCTGGCACAAGTTGGTTTCTCTCCAGGAGAAGGCACAAGGGAGGGGGGATAGGAGCCATGAGGGCTTGACCTTCCATTTGTCTGACTGGCAAACTTGCACACACATACACACGCTCTCACACACACACACACACACACACAATTACCTACATATGCAAAAGTGTGTATGTTTTTTGTGAGACCAGAGAGCAGTGAAAAATAGCGTAAAGGGGAACGACATGGCCGGGAGGATGCTGACACGTCAGAGTTGGACATGAGATCACGATCCCGCCTGCGAGCTGTAATGGTGATGAGATCTTAACACATACAAAGAGCAACTCACAAGAATGTATGCCCACAAACCCACATACATACTGTACACACTTTAGAACGTGTAGAGGGAAAGTGTACACACAAAAACAGAGTTGCAGTGTCTCTGGGAGTCTGCAGTGAGAGTCTGTGCCTGCTGCATATGTGGCCCCATGCATAAACAATATGCCCTGAGAGACAGTAGAGTGATACTA